CAATATTGAAATGGCCAGAACAAGGGGTGTGGAAAGGAAAAGAGAGTCTAAAAACTAAACAGGATGAAAATTAAATTAAATCCAGAGGTATAGCATAACAACCAACAGTGGCACTTGAAATGTCTCAGGCAGCTTTGAAGGCAAGAAGCTGAAAGAGGACATTAAAGTCATACTCATATTAGGCTACAGATTTTTTTTTTCCCTTCTCTTCTTCCTCTCCCTTTTCTGCGAGTATAGACTACAGTATCCAGTCTACTTTTGTTGTTGTTTTGGTGGGTTTTGTTTTGTTTTTTGCTGTTATTGTTTTGTTGTTTTATGCTCCCCCTTCTACCTTTGGGGGACTCTTTTGCTCTCTACATTACCCAAGAAGAGACAGCAACTACTGCCATATAGTCAAGCTACAATCACACTCTATAAAACACCCAAATCCAGGCAAGAACCAATACCAACTGCCATATACCAGGGAAACAGACAACACCTGTGAGAGTTACCCTGATTTAAACAATAAGAAGAGGGGAAAAGGAAGCCCACATCCTGATCACATCTACCTAGAGGCAATCAGAAAGCATAAAAAACACCAAAACACACACTCAATTAAGTATTAAGGCTACAGATAAACACTAAACATATCCAAGAAGATGCCCATACCCAGCACATTTCCAGAAACAAGATAAAATGTCTGAGACAAATGACCTAGAGGTAGACCTGAACTACATTCTGGAAGGAGGACAGGCCTTGGAAATGGCTGAGAAGAAATTCAGAAAAATGATTATAAAATGTTTCAAAACACTTTAAAATGGAGTTGAGAAAAATGAGGAAGAAGTCAAGAAAGTGCTACAGAAACAATCAAATAAGATAGATACAGCATTGGAAACAATTCAAAACCTACAGATAGAGGTCCAAATGCTCAATAATAGAATATCAGAAATAGACAATACACTGAAAGGGCAAAGGAGTAGAATAGAAGAGATGGAAGGCAGAACTAGTGAGCTGGAAGACAAATCTCTCAATATCACTAAGATAGAAGAGCAAACAGAAAAAAAGATTTAAAAATCTGAAGAGGATCTAAGATTCATGTTGGAGAATATAAAAAGGAATAATTTAAGAATTATTGGCATTCCAGAACAAGAAAAATCACACAATCCACAGAGGAAATAGTTGAAGAACTGCTGAAAGAAAATTTCTCTAACACCAAAAGAAAAGTGAAAAGATAAACATTCAAGAATCTCAACAAACCCCAGGAAGGATAGACTCCAAAAGAAAATCACTGAGACATATCATAATCAAGCTCTCCAAAATCAAAGATAAGGAGACATTCCTGCAAGCAGTTAGGGAAAACAGAAGTGTTACATACAAAGGCAAGCAAGTCAGATTAAGCTTGGGTCTCTCAGCAGAAACCATGTAAGCAAGAAGGCAATGGGGAGATATATATTAAACCCTGAAAGAAAAATACTGCCAACCAAGAATCCTTTATCCAGCAAAGCTATCAATCAAATATGACAGCGTAATAAAAACATTTCCGGGTAAACAGAATCTAAGGGATTTTGCCAAAGCCAACTCTGCACTACAAAACATCCTCAAGGGAGTTCTGTGGATTGAGAACCAACAAGAGCAGACAACAACCAGAGATTGGCAAACGTGGCAGCACCTCCCAGAACTAAATCAACAGAAGGAAAAGTTTGAGAACAGAACAAAATTATAAGAACAAACTCAGAGAATCTGGGAAGTCAGTCTATGATAAAAACAATGACAATGTAAAAGAAGATAAACACATAGGAACAGA